ATAAAATTACTCTAGTATAGAATTGGTCAGCCGATTTAAAATAATTCGTCTAAGTTACGAATGTGACGTTATTTTTTTTTTAAATATTTTACAACAAACAGTTAAACACATATGGTTACTATAGGTACTGCTATAAACAGTAAACAATCCCTTTTTCTTTTAAAATCTGCAAATCTACTTTTTTTTTCTTTTTCTATCACAAATATAATATCTTACACATAATATAATAAATATTTAATAATAATAATCATTATTGTACGTATTTTGGTCATCCCGATTCATGTACTGCTATGCGAAGTGGTCGAGTTCCCGTTATTAAACCCAATAAATCTTGTTACTGTATAACAATTATACGGACAGCCGATATACCGTCAAATACTTGCCAATCTTTCTGTTCTTATCTTTCTATGTTCCGGATCGATACCTCTCGATGTATGGAACTGACCTGCCTGAGTGCTAGACGATGTGTATACAAATAGGTACCTGCTCACAGTACAATTGATTATTTTCAAAAATGACAATACGGTATACGGATACAATTACACGCGATGCCTATTAGTGTTATAGAGAATTCGAAAATCGTTTGTTGGAAAAATGTTTGTTGTTTCCTTTCACACAGTCAAAGAAAAAAGGTACGACTGGTTACCGTTCGAAAAACCGGCGGCGGCATTGCCTTTTTGATGAATCTACGCCGCAGCGGGGATCGATTACAGGCGTTTATAATATTTTATAGGCAGGTAGGTATTTTTGTCCCCTTCGTCGGTTGTTTTTTTTTTCTTTTGAAACAATATTCGAATTTTTTCCGCACACATCCAGAGACGGGATAATTTTGCCGAAACGAAACGCGCGCGAGTGTTTTTATTCGACATGGTAATTATGTGTCTAATAGTGTGTGTAATATAGACGAAATATCCGCGCATAAGAAAACCGAAAAAAAAAAAAACCGAAGGTCATAAATAATGTTGTCTGTCGGAATTTTTAAAGGTGTTAATGTCATGGGAATTACCAATACGATTTCGTTTTCGTTTAATAAGTAGGAAAAAAAGTATACCATTTCATAATATTATTATGTATATCGGTGGCGACGGCGGGGGGAGGAGAACACGCGTTGTTGCAGCAGACATCACGACCAAGACGCATTCGCGCAAATGCTGCAGATTTAGGATGCGCCAGAAAAAAAAAAAAAAATTACACAAAATAACCAGACTTACGAAATAATAAAAGAAATCGCGTGAACCGCCGTCGGTTCCGAAAAAAAAAAAAAAACAAAACAAAACAAAACCACCACGTATATAATCATATATTATATTATAAAGGATAACTGAAGATTTTATTTGTATTTTTTTTTTATCAATGACGGTATAAATAATAATTGTTTAAAAACCATAGAATCACGCATCACGCTACTCGCGTTTTGCGCCAGTCCGTCCATTATATTCGGCAAATAAAAAGTATATGTAAGAATATAAAAAAAAATAATAATAATAACCGATCGTAATTGAAAGAAAAAAAAAATACACACACACATAATATATAATTTCTATATTATAATATATTCGGCGGGCCGCGGACGCGATTGAATAGTTTTCGGACATTGTTTCTCGTGCGCCTATATAATATTTGGTAGCTGGTAGGGGTCGGCAGGTACGACCACAATGGATTTTGTACTCGATATTTCTGTACCAATTATTATTGATATAATAATAATAATAATAACGCCGCCGTATTAATTTCCGAGGCAATTGCTGCTCCCGTATAATTTTTGTTTTTTTTTTTTGACAGGAGCGCATCACACGCGATATTTCCCCTTTCCCCAGAAAAATGAATATCATACAGGTAAACGTATACGTAGTTATAGGTACACACGAATTTATTATTATTATTATTATCAGGCGTGTGTATTATTCTTTTCATGAACGAAATCTCGGCTTTTTTCTTTTTAATTACGGAGATACGAGTCGAGAGTATATAGTATAGTAGTAGTAGTAGTAGTAGTAGTAGTAGTAATAGTAGTAGTAGTAGTAGTAGTAGTAAGTAAGTAAGTAAGTAAGTAAGTAATAGTATAGGTAAAGTAGTGGTGTAGCGGTACACCGGCTTATACAGATAGTCGGTGGTTATTGATCGTATTGTACGTGTCCGACAGGAAGTATTTATATTATTAAATTATCCAAACTCGTTTCGACCGCCACTTATTCCATTCATACATGTAAGTACCTATACACACTATACACGTATGAAATAATATATTAAACACCGAAACCGCCACTGGTGCAGTAGTCCGCGGTCAGTACCTATAATATTATGTACGTTATAATAATAATTAGTGAATATAGCCAATAATTTATACTCGTGTTGGTACACGCTCTGTTTAGCGGAAATCAAAAGTAAATAATATTATACTGGATACCTATTGGATAGGTTACCTGCCTATTATAATACGTATTATTATTCATTTCAAATACGCACAATAGATCGGCAGTCTGGCGCCTTTAACTTTATATTATAGTACAACCGAACCCGTCGTAAAATCCCGCCATTCATAGTTTATATTATTATCATAGGTAATACCTACCTATTTACTTACGTTCCTACCTTCGTCCACATAATAATTTATTCGTTCATTCATCTATTTATTATAATAATATCCTATACCTCTATGTGTGCGTGGTTTTTAGCGTTACAGAAAAAAAAAAAAAAACCACAGAAACCTTTTCAATATTGTATTTGTAATACAATAATAATATTATGGTGGGGCTCGTATTTTAGCGTAAATTATATAAAATTATTTTTAGGCGCATATAATATTATAACCATTATATGCGCGTTCGGTTGTTTTGTTTGCCACCGAAAAGAAATAGTTTTCTCTTTTTGTGTACAAAACTCGTAATTTAGTCCTTGACGTAATTCCTATGTATGATGTGGCTCAGGAATATTCAAGATTTTCGTTTTTCGGCAAAACGAGCCCCTGGCAATATTTTGTACACACGTAATCCGAATGCAAAAAATATATGTGTTTGGTATTATGCGTCGACGACATATACCTAAACGCCGGATAACAAATTTATAACCGACTTACTCTATAAGCAAACCTCCGAAACTCGTATTTATATTTCATAACAATTCAATAATATACTTGGGTACGAAGTTTTCACCGTAAAAATTTAAATTAACCTAATTCGTTTTCTCAGCCACGATCATTATATTATTAATAAAATACGGGATCATATATTAGGTTTGTTTTACAAAATGATCGGATTCATTTCTGTGAGCCTGTGACATTTCTAGACTGTGTAGTTAGTATATATAAAAAAAAGTTAATGTTTAGTGGTTTGCACTACTGTGATATACTGATATCATATCACTCAATACCATTCGCGGATATCATAGACGGAGGGGGGGAGTGAAAAAAGCATAGCGCATTTTATACATATATCTATCAACGAGACACGTTTATATTATGTTCTTATGTTTTTTTTTTCGAATGGGAGGGGGATTATTTGACCAAATCTCATCTCACAACCAATTTTCTAATCTTCTTTAATCATTGCCAGATTATTATGTATAGAAGCTTTTAAAGCATCGACATTTTTTTTTTTTTTGACCGGGTTGTTACTATCGCTGGTTAATCACTACTCGAATACCGCTTACAGTCTTAACCTCCTATTTTTTTTTATTTTTCTTCTGTCACTCATTACACTTATATTTACTGTTCTTATGTTTGTATGGATAGTAGATATTTTGTTAAATTTAAAAAAAGTACTTTTTTTTTTTTCATATTTATATTGAACGTTAAAATCATCAAAAATGAAAAACAATAATGTATTACTTTTTATAAAGAAATTTCGATAAAAACATGATCAAATTCAAATACGTTTAATTGGTATACGTATAATTTATTATACCGGAATACCGGTAAGACATCCAAATCATGGAACAAGTTCCGTTGTGTAAAGTTTAGATATCCATTTCGCGTAATTTTATCTATATTATGTAATTACGCGAAGTAGGAAAACCTCAGTTCCATTTCGTAAAATGGATACAAACGCGGTATGGATGCAACATATACATACCATAATCTACGTGTTATGAAATTGTCCCCATCATTTTTAAAGTATTTCTAAAATATTTTTTTGCCGCACCGAAAAATGTGCTATACACACACACACACACACACACACACACACAAAAGGATCATTACACAATATTAATATAATATAAAGCTTCTTCGATCTGCCGAAAATTTTAAATACCGTATGAAATTACCTAATTGGATACTTACGAGACGATATTATAATAATATATTATATTAATCAGCGTATTACGTTACATATTCATAATATTATATTGTATCATATAGTAGGTATAGAGAAATATTATAATATATTTTGAGAAAGTAGTGTAAAATCGGTTTTTCGAGGTCATCTTTTTAAAAAGCAGAGTACAGCAATACCGAAACTGGTATTAAAGAATAATACTCATCTAACCTCGACGTTCTGACAATAAAAACATATTTTTAATTTTGGGCGCAAAAATTATCGCAATTGAAAATCGATTATGTGTATGATAAAACGTGGGTAATAGTGTTAATATTGCGTAATATAGTCCAATGTTTATATAAATTCACTGCGATGCTCTCGTTTACAGGTTGTTCCATAAAAATATAATATAGAATAACTATTTGAAAATATTTAATAATTGAAGTTGTGCATTTTTTATTTTTTAGGTATCATAGTTATATTATTGCTTTATGGCAGCGAAACATGAACGATTGCTAATAATAAGAATATAGAAAATCTGAAGTTTTCGAGATGTAGTGCTAAAGGTCACGGCCAAGATATAAGTTTTATAGATACCATAGTGACCGATGAAGAACGGCTGAAAAAAAAACAAGAGAGAGACCTCACGGAAAAGAATCAAGAATAGAAGAAATTAATAAATTGGACGTGTACTTAGACTACTGAGAGACATGCGGGTTGTTTGAAATGCTTGATGATAGAAGAGTGCGTGTGAAAGTTAAATATTATAGAAGAACACCACGATTGGGATGATTGTAGTGATAATTTATTAATGGACCGAGGATGTAATTCGTATTCGAAGAAATCAAGAGGAAGATAAGTAACATTGATAGAAGATTGCTGCAAACTAGTCTTATATAGGAACGATCACAAAATACAGACTCGATTTTTTATTATTCAAAAAATAATATTCAAATTTCACGGGTGTAATATTATCTCAGCGGGCGATTTAATCAACTTACAATTCTATTATGTGTTGTAGCTCATATAAGTTATATTGTTTTAATTCATACTATAAAAGACAAATTAATATTTAAGTTTATTCTGAAAAATATTTTCCTATATCCAGTGGTGAGGTGAACTCAACATGTTTGTTGTGAGACAAATATTTTGTTGGACCATCTATCTCCATCCACTTTCAGATCACTTCATCTTACTCAAAAACTAAAAAAAAATTTTTTTTTTTTTAAACCATAAGCACAATTAAGACGTAGTTTGAGGGCTATATTTATTTTTCGAATCCATCCACGAATAGCGTTTCATGGTTTGTCTTTGACCCTCTCAAACCGCGTGTGGTTAAACCAATGATAGTTAACACATAATATAAAATTGATATATTTTTGTTATTACTCATCCATATTATTATAATTTATACAATTTGCGTCGAATATTAAATAGACATCGTATCTTCTAAAAATTTCAGTGGCAATGGTCTTTTAAATAAGCACGCCACGCCATTGCGGCTGTATCGGTAATTCTTTGATTTTTTTTTTTTTTTTAATATCTCTTTTTTGAGAATAAGAAAATAATTATGTGGTCATACTAACACTAAGCATAGTATATAATATTATATTTGTAAGTATACGTTTAAACCGTTGGTAAAGAAAAAAAAACAACCCATCAGGCATTTAACAAATCGAGTTTTACGCCAAGTATAACGGTCATCGTGTGCACGGCGTTAAATCGTACCAAAATAATAATAATAATTTTAAAAACATAACACCGATCAACGATTCCTGTATATAACGTCGACGCCCAATGATTTAGCGTGCTATCAAAGGGTCACCGCTGTAACAGGTCAATGGATTTTTTTTTTTTTTTTCGGAAACTCAATACCATATAATAAATAATAACTGTAATATAATAATGCCCATCGACTACCGAGTGCTCTAATTGAATAACCCGTCGGTTCATTTCCGTATATTTAAAAAAAAAATATATATTAATATGCCTCCAATATATATTATCAAAAATGGTACGACTGCGGCTGTCTAAAAAAAAATTAAAAAAATGTTCATCCGTCATCGAGGGTCCTGTACCAAATCGGTGTGTCGGCATCGCATTGAGGTGTTATTACTGTTATAGATAATCATAGCGTGTAGTTTTTTCCCCCAATATATACCAATCAATTATTATTCCGGGCGCCTCTGATATTTTTTTTTCTCATTTCATTTTGGCTTTTCATCGTCCGACCTAATGATCTAGTCCTGCGCTCGTGTATAGGAATATCGACTATCAAAACTGCAGCAGACAATGATGTGCGCGCACGACTCGAAAACGTAAAAAAAAAAACTATTATTTTGCGAACGGTCAACACAACAATAAGCGAGTAGGTAGTATAGTAGTTATTTTTTTTGATAACTTGATTTTATATTCTAATTAATTATGTCTAATATCTATCGCGTGCATACAAACCGAAATAGATATAGAATAACTAAATTTCAAATAATAAGTCGGGTATGGTTGGCTTATTATTGCGTTTAAAAAAACGTGTTTTCCCCGATCACCCATCAATATTGCTATAATCTATCAACAAAAAAAAAAAGACCATATAACTATTATAAGGATACGAGCAACTGTATAATAGTAAGCTAGCGATACTACAACAGCTACTAGCTGCAGGCTTGCTAGTGAAATGGAATATTCATTTACGCATAAATAGAAGTTATATTAAAAAATTGATACAGGGACGTTAATTTCGTTTATTTTAAGAGGGCACGATGATTTTTTAAGGATAATTATCCTCCAGGTGCTAAGCTATTATTGAAACATTTTTTTTTTAAAATATGCTTGCAAAATTAAAAAAAAAATCAATACAATTTGTTTAGCCTGAATAGCCTGGCTAAAATTTTAATTTACACCTAGGCTAATTATGTACACAAATTTCAAAGAGTTCAAGAGTTCTTGGCCTTGCGTACATCGTGGTCAATGAAACAATAATTGTTTAGATAGATAACTAATTATTAGTTATCTATATTCGTCTAAATGATACCAATTCAAGCATTTTAGCTAACTATGATTACTCAAAAAGTTAAACCGCGCTACCTCAATTGTTGAGATACTCTGTACGTATGTTAATAATTTACTAGAGCACTTGGATTACACGATGATTTTTATACGAGCAGATAAACAAATAGGTTATATTATATATTATAATTGTTAATGAAAAAAAGTATAGCGTAAACGACCCTTTATGAAACTTGTATTCGTTCTTGAGATATGACGATTTATAATAATCCGTTCAAAATTAATAAGATGTACATTTATTTATTTTTACTCCTCCGTTTTTAATCCCTGGAACCCGATTCGTGTAATCTTTACTAGTAAAGACTGGCATTGTTTTATAATTATTCACTGTAAAATTATTACGAACGTCCAATGAAAGATACGTGTCGCGGTGACTTTAACGCAACGATACAATCGTAACGTGTTGGTTTGTTAAAAGTTCGAGAGAGATTGTATACGTTACTCGTATTTATATATTTGAACAGAGTAATTTATTGAATAATTCGGTTTGACGAATAACGTGTGCACTAAGACTAAACACGATAGTGCAGTACACCTGCACAACACACAGAACGCAAAAATACGAATCTGGTTCGAAAAAACACGTTGCAATAAGTTTTCGATTGCACTCAGTACTGATCAATATTCGAACAAGACTAATAAGACGTTATTATTCGGTGCTGAATTTATTTTTTATTTTAATAAACACCGCTAGCGATTCCTCTCGAAAACCGTACACAGTTAACGTAATAGTTAACGTTTAATATACAGGACACTTAGCATTACGTCCACCCCGTTTGGTCCCATCACTAAATTATTATAATAATATATACCCGACCCCGTTTCGCAGTTTATTCGTCGCAATGGAAATTATTTCGCGTTGGCCGCTCTCCCTCCGGATACGCGGGTTTTGAATTCCGGTCGCGCATCGCACTAAACTGCCTCGTATTATATTATAATAATATTATTATTATTATTAATAATATTAGGTATACGTGGTGTTAAGACTTAAAAGGCGAACGTGTGCGCCGTAATCAACTTCCCCTACACCCGTATAGGTACACGCACGATCGACTTAACGTGATATATGATCCACCCTCATCCGTCGTTGTCGACGACTCGGGTATAGTCGAAAACTGGTATGTACATATATATATCTCAAAAAAAAATCGCCGAATATAGCCGAAGAAGCCTAATATAAATATAAACGTAGTGTTTACAGTTTTATCGATCGGCGGAAACTTGGCACCAATAATACGTCATATTCTTATATATAGGTATATATATAGTTATACGATCAATTATAATGTATTATTTGTAAATTCGTTGTCATCCTCCAGGATATATTTAGTGAATATTCACGCTGCGCAAGTACATGCCCTTAAAAAAAAAAATGTTTCATAAGTAAACAGACCAAACTACCCTCTTAACGTTTGCACCATCCCCTTGTTACCCCTTCTCCACCAGAGAGACTTTTTTTTATTTCTTCATTTTTTTTTTAATAAATCTAATTAAATCGTTTACCATTTATATTCAATATTGAACACTTATGCAATAAACAAAATCTTACTATATTGGGCGTCCAGTTTGGAATGTAGAAAACCTCCTTAAAATAATGCCTAGTCGTCGTCGGTATAGTGTTTACAGCCATCGACTATGGAAAAGCGAACGAATTTCAAATAGTGTTACTACTCATTTCTCGTTTGGGAGACATTGTAGGACGATGCGGGTTAAATAACATCTAATAAAACGCAGCGTCGGTGCGTGTAAGTATATACATGATTTAAGTCAATATTTTTAAAAAAAGGTAAAGAGTACTGCAGCAAAAAGCGCATTAACATGGAAAATACAATATATTATATTAACAATGCAGTGCCCGCCACAATATACTCCTGACATTATAAAACATCACTAGCACGTAGGTGGTCGTAGATCATGGCGACGAGAAATGCGATACCGTTGATATCGTGAATTATTTTACGGACTCGCGACTCTTCTCGAATACCAAACATTTTGGTAGTACAGGTAGGTATAATCAGTAAAATATTATAATAATGTTCCGAAATAACAACCGAATATTGTCTACGCGTGGTGAAGTACCCAGATGGCTGAAGATGAGGATGGGAGGGGGTTAGCATGGGATGTATAATAAACTGATGTCGATTGTCAATATTGGATATCTCGGTAGTGAACACCGTTTTTTTTCTTATTTTCAGTTATTTATTATGTTTTATTGGTATTTGTTTTTACTTATTTTTGCCATTGTCTGATCCCGTTCCGTGTCATTTGACATTTAGCACAGTATATTATAAGTGTATACAATCGATAATCAATCGAAAGATCACCTACCCGACATGAAATGCGATTCAAATAAACGTGTTTGAGAAATTTATGAGTCAATTCGATTAATCTTTTTGTTACCTAAACATTTGTTCACGGAAAGTTATTCGAGTGCACCCCTTAAAAGAAACGAAATATTTGATCGGATATAATTTATGTTTTTTTTTTTTTAATATCCCATAATAGATTTTCAATATTATATGTATATTATTAATTTTCGCTACCTCATCTTTTTTTAAAAATTATGGATTGATTTCTTGTTACCGCAAAAGTGTTAGTTTTTTAAATTTTCAGTGAAGTGAAGAATGTATTAATTTTACTATGATTGTGTTTTGTGTGTGTGTGTGTGTGTGTCTGCAAACAACTTTTCTATCAAATATCTTGATTCAATCAAAAACTTTACAAGAACTTTCTTTTAGCATTTTTGATCTATTTGTTGCATTGAGCAGTTCATTTTTTTGATTTTTCTTGTATATTTTTCCAAACAGATGAGAAAAACCGACAATTGTTTTCATAATTTATGTCGATTCCGTTATTATACATCATTTACGACAAGGGAAAAATACGACTAAATAATACTCTGCTCAGAATCGTTTATCGTTGACAATGCATATGCATATCTAAAATGTACTCTACATTGAATCCTGTCTTCCAACTTTCCTCCTAAAACAGTGGCACACCAGTCAGCAGTATGGGACATTTTTTTTTTCTTACAAATTTTTTCTGATGGATTTTCCGGCGTTAAACGGCGGCGGTCGGTACATATCTTTTGGTATAATAAAACCTGCGGGTCTCGTTTACAACAATAATTGTATTATTATTATTGTTGGGACGGTGCTGCGGTGGTGGCGGCGCCGCCGGTGGCACTCGATTTGTCGGTCGGCGTGCGGCCGGGGCGGAGCGTGTTCGGAGGGCGAACGTTATAAAACACGTTACCGGTCCCTTCCGGCCGATCACTCCGATCAGTAGCTCTCGACTTATCGCATCGTACGCACTTACCTGCTTACAGCATTCACTTCGCATCGTACATATTATTATACGACGAACGATTTCGGAAAATTTAAAATTTTCGATTTCTCGTGACTTCACGCGCGCGTATACACCGTAAAGGCATCGTTTTTTTTTTTTTTTTGTTTTTTTTTCACCGTCTTTTCACTAAAAGAATTACGCAACCGTCTGAATAACCGACGACCCGACACACTTGACGATGGCGTCCGTTTTGAACATGAATTACGGTGGATACTTCAGCGGCGGCGGCGGCGACGACCGGGACAGATACGACATCGAGTACGGCGTCTCGGCCAGCGACACGCTTCGGGCTGTCTACGAAGCGGCGTTCTCCGGTGGCGGCGGCGGCGTGGCAGGAGGCGTCGGCGTCGGCATCGGCGACGTTGACGGTCTGTCCGTAGGCGGCGCGGGCTGCGGCCCGGGCGATTTCGTCGTCGGCCGCGGTTCTCCGGCCGGCTCCACGTGCACGGCCACCACCACGACGACCACGTCGTCCTGCGGCGACCCCAAGTCACCGTACGGCGCGGACGCGGCCACCGACTTTGGGTCGTACGAAGAACTCCAGTCGACCGTGGCTAGCGGCGGCGGCAGGGCGTCCAAGAGACCCAACGGCGGGTCCGGTGGCGGCGGCGCCGACAACGTGATGAAGAAACGCCGGCTGGCCGCCAACGCCCGCGAACGCCGGCGCATGCAGAGCCTGAACCACGCGTTCGACCGACTCCGGCTGGTGCTCCCGACGCTCGGCAACGACCGACAACTGTCCAAATACGAGACCCTCCAAATGGCGCAGACTTATATCACGGCCCTGGACGATTTGCTCCAGTGAGTATGTACATTACAGTTTGCGCGAATGTCTCTACCGCACACGTTATCATGTTTTTTGTACAGTTCATATATTTTTTTTTTTAGTTTTATTTTTTTATTATTTTAACAATATGATTAACGAAGCCTATTTTCGTCGCCGAATTGCCATTTTTTTTTTTTTTTTTTGTTTTAAGGACAATTTTAGACAATTTTACGTAGGTGGGAGTCACCTATGGCCATTCATGTAAACATGAGCTTTTAGTGTTATTTTGTAACTTTGATAGTTATACGGCTATTATCGACCTCAATCAATTTACCGAGCGATTTACCGTAAGATGGCCATCATAGTTTAGTTTCGAATTGTCAACCGTAAGTTGATTAAATCAAATATTAATGGAAGATAGTACTTAGGTGGTGACTCCTAACTTAAAACTGAATTTTTTAATGTTCATCGCGCGTATAAGTATAACTGGTATCTATAATTTTGCCGCAATTATTTTTTTTAAATGAGTATTTTTATATTTTTACCTTTACCCAATTTCGCAAATGAAAAAATATTAACATGTCCGATTTGAGTTGTGTGCATAACTGTTGGGAAATATTTTAGCGAATAATCGGTTTTATAACTCATCCGTGTGCATTTCAACCCCTCAAAGTAATATGTAAAATAAACATAAATTTCTCCATAGCCACTCGCACAATTTCTTATGACCGGTTAAATTATGATGTTATATTTTTTACTACATTTTTTTTTTTTTTTTTACTATTATTATTTAACTGTTCCGTCCTGTTATATAACCGTTATAATATAATATTATATTATAATATATGTTAATGTTAATTACTTGTACGGATTTTGCCAAAGCCTGTGATAATAATTATTGTTTACAGATACGTTTATATAAATTGAATTTGTATAAGTTTGTACCTAATTTTTTTTTTTTTATTTTTACGATGTTAATAACTATATAATACGGATACCTACCTACGTCATTATATATAATGTAAATTATGTTTAATTATTATTATTGTATTTGTATATTGTATATATTATATTGTCAAGTATTTATAACGCTCAAAAAATAATAAACGTACGAACAAATTCGTCTTTGCTCAAAATCAACCGGTGTGTACAATACTTACTTATACTGTATACCTACCTATCTATACGTAGTTATATTTTATTATAAATATTACTGCGGTGCGTTTAGGGTTTTGCCACGAAGGGAATTATTGAATTTGGAAATTGTGTCATACTTATCGCGTAACAGGTACTTAACAAAAAAAAAAAAAAAAACCATATTAAATTTATATATTATTAGAAGTTATACCTATTAAATCAATCTAAACTATTTTCATTAAAATCCTTTAGGAAACTATTGGTAAGTATTAGCAATAATAATTATTGGTATATTTACCAATGTACTAATATAACCTTCATATTATACTAAGTATTGCGGTTTAGATACGTTTTTTTGTTTTGAACGAGAAAATATATTTACTCCGGTTTTTTAAAAATTTTTTTGATATAAGTATGATTTATTAGGTAGGTACCAACACATTTTTAATTTCTTTGATAGCAAAGTAAAGAAATTTGTATCTAAAATACAAGGCTGTCACTGCTGATAAGTGCGCCACTGTTTTAGGAGGGAAGTTAGAACGCGCATTATATTATATAGAGTTATTTAATTTATATCTGTACGTAACGACAAACGCTTCTGAGTAGTCGTATTTTTTCATTGTTTCCGATGTAACCCAATAATCGACATAAATTATGCGAAAAATTGCCAGTGTTTCCCATTTATTATGAATCATAATAAAAGAGCGTGATTTGTTGTTTACAAAGACGAAAAAGGACAATAAATACGCCACTGTTGTCTATGTGTAATTCAAAACTACATAATGTTTTGTTATCGTGATAATATTATAAAATTATTACTTATCCAGTCAATGCGTGAGTGTAGCATAAATTATAGCCCATATAGGTACACAATATTGTTATTATTATTCAGGTGCGGGGCGGAGATTTTTTCCGATACGATCGCCTCGTCGCGCGTCGTCGCGGTCGTCGCGATGATGATGGGCGTCGTCGTGTAATATTATTATATTATAACTTCTTGACCTTTTTTTTTTTCTCGCCCCCCCCCACTCCCTTATGGGTTTTCGTCGTCGTCGTAGTACTACGGGTATGCGTTTAATAATACAACGTTAATTGAGTAACACCGTTTTAAGGAGTCGTCAACGGAGAAAAAAAACCGAAAGAAGAAAAAAAAAAGGGTAACAATGGCGGATGACTTCCGTTCACACCGAAAATCTCGGAACCAAGGGTGAATCTTCATCTCGCGCCTATACATTATACGTATATAAGACAAAAGTCCCGGCGAAGTGAACTACTAGTGTTTCTCACGGATCCGTCGTCGTGGAGGCGCTGCTGCTGCCTGCTCTCAAGACAAGGGCGTAATACAATATAATACCGTATAAAACGTTATATTGTTTCGAACGAGATCGATTTATGGTACATCGGGTGTATATTTATGTGGTTTATCATTTTTTTTTCTCCCTCGTCGAAAAGACGTGTATTTGTGTGTGATGCTCGTTCGTTAGGCACCTAGGTACACGACAACAATAATTAAATGGAGAGACGGATGTACTTATAATAGCGTGAAAATACTATATTATATGGTGTTCGGAGTGGCACATTTCCACATCATGTCAACGCCAACAGCTTCATATAATTCATCTATGATGATAGGTGTATTTATTTTTTATTTTTTCTGACGAGGGTCACACAATATTATACAACCCTTAATCTAAATATCGGTTACAATACTTTAACGATCGTACATATTATAATATACGCGTACTCCGCTCTGCTAATAATCTGAAGTGTGGCAGACGTCTGTTATAATATAATCGTTATATTATTATTATTATAATGTACTTATATAAATTATATAGCGCCACAGCGGTGTAGAGTACGTTGTTAAAATCGTAGGTATGTATATCAGGGGTTATTCTGTGGCGTTTGAATTTTTTTTAAACATTAAATTACATTCGATGATTATTTTTAAATTTTATTTGGGTATGTTATTTTTTAATTCGTTAATAATCCGGATACTTTTCGTTTATTGCGTCGTAATAAGTAGTAATATTATATAGAAATATTATAATATGTATTTTGGATTATTCAGATGTGTGTCGCGTAAAATATGGGGAACGACGGGAGCCGATTTGGATGTCAATTTTCAAAAATGAGAACCGATATGGGATACCGTTACCAATACCAATAATTGTGTTTATGTGCCTAGTCAAAAAAGGCTGTAAATAAATTACAGCTTATCAAAGAATCGTATATAAAAAAAAAAAAAAAATATATATATATACTTGGTATAAAATATGTAAACTTGTAGACTGTAGCTAGCCCAAGTCTGCAGTATAAAATGAGAATGAAAATTGATATTGCTTTTCAAGTAATCTGAGAACTTATTCGGACATACCGACAAAAATATATTTAAATGTTGTCTCGTTAGACGCTGAATCAAGTACGAGTATAAATATCTTCACAATAAGTAATCAAATAATATATTTGATAAAAGTTACAAAAAATAACATATTTACCCAATATTGCCGATAATACTTAAATATTAATAATAAAACAAAATAATCACATTCAGTATAGACGCGTGCACTGCCATCACGGGTAGACTAATACTGTTTTAAGAGAACCTGCAAAAAAATATCAAGTAAATACGTGAATATATTTTAGAATGGAAATAAATATATTAAATAGGAATAATCGTCAGCAAACGCATAATCTTGTTTACGTTAACATTATGGTTATTATTTGAAAGGGTTAAGCTGTTATGATTTTGTGTCAAAACGTTTCATTTATTTAGCTACTTTAAATAGATTGTTAATACAATTCTTCTAAACATTTCTTCTACTGGCATACAATATAAGTATGTAGCCAACTTTCTATTATAATTTGCCACTTGTCTCCATATTTAACTACCTCTCTCCAGTTTTCAGCTTTTGATATTTTTAAATCTACTCCGCAAATCCATTATTTCTTATTCCAGTATTCCTTGAAGTTTTCTTCCTTACATGAGGTTTCCATTAAATTCGTTTTCTCGTCACTTCATTATGTATATATGATAATCCAACTCTTGTTTCGCCTTTATTCTCGAAACTTTTCCACTGTTGTTATGGTGCTATAGTTCCACCAAATCGTTCAACTCACCCACTCCCTACAATAGTTATTGGTTACGGTCTGGGATAAAGTAATCTTCCATTTAAAAGAAACCAAATCTATGAATTGAAATGACACGGGCAACACATGTAAATATTATGTATCATATGCATTTATAACAATAATATTTTTAAATGTTTTAGTTTAAAAGTAATATATTAATTGAGAAAAAAGTTTTAAAAGTATTGGTATTATTAAATAAATTTTAGATTTTGAGTGGAGCGAAGAAGCTTATAGTTTTACAAAAATGCGCAATTTTTCTACAAGAAATCTTGCTTCGATTTATAATAACACTTTTTCTGAAAGGAAGTCGTACTAGAGAGGTATTTTAGAGAAGTAATTTTTCGATTTTCTCAGGAGTTTTCCCAACACATTAGAAAAACCGAATACAAACGAAGGAAAAACGAGAAAATAGGTACAATATTAAACAAATATTATTAAAAAAAAATTTTAATGCACATCTAATCATTTTATTATAATATGACATATATTATTGACAAACCAACACTATCAACTGAACTCCGCTTAGAATCGTTTTTTCGTTAGCAATGGTTTATCATTGCTTACAAATATACATTAAATTCACGTCTGTATCCTGCTTGCCCAAATTTTCGTCTTTCAAAACATTAATTTTAAAACTACGAAATGAAAAAAAAATAGGTTTAAAAACATTTATAGTCTTATGTGTTTTTACAGAGATATATTATTGAGATATTGATTTAGGTAGTCGGTTTTTTAGATTTTATAACGTTCAAATCTGAATTTTCCTGACATTAAAAATATAGGTTTTGACGGGCTTACAATAAATTCAGACGCCCATTGCATTGCGACCATGAGACCGTCTGGAGCACAAATCGTATTATTATGTAGTCTGGTCCGAATGAAATTTAATGATACGCACGAGAAATTTGGGTTTTGCGAATAATATTCTTATATTATACGTGAGTAGAAACGAGACGAGTTGTAAAAATACGGCCTCCCTCCTACCCCCCCCACCCATTGGAATCATCGTCCGAACCGTCGTCGAGCGCGCATTATCTTCTATTTGGTAATATGTATACACACATATGCACGAAAAGTACGAATAAAAAATATAATTGCTGCCCTTTGTTGTCGGACGGGAGGAGAGAGGGATAAGAGGGAGGGGGATATTAATAGGTGTACGTCAATCAAGAGACGGCGGCGGCGCGTGTGCTTTACCATTTCGCGATACTGCTCGCTCTATACACAGCTATAATAGTATTATATTATCTCTTTCGGTCCTCTTAAATTTTTTTTTTTTCCGCCTAAACACGCAATAATTACAGCCGGGCGAGCACACTCGCTCGCCGCAGACACGTTTAATTATTACCATCATAATTATAATATATATCATCTCGATTGTTTTTGTTTCTCCCCTCCCCTCCCCTCCATTCCGTATACCCCTAACGGGTCTCGGCTGGCCCCGTCCTTTTGCGTGTATAATTTGCGCGAATGTACCGCGGTATGTTTAGGTAAACGTTGTTACCTCCTATATAATATGTATATAATATATCTTAGCGCGAGCCCGTTTTCAAAAACACTAATCAGCGGATAATAATACGTCCGAAACGATTGCGGGAGATAAAAGAATTTGACTTTTTATTTGACGGGATAAACGTTTATAAAAAAAAAATCCCCAAAATAAAAAACTTTCCTACGCGAATTGTCACTAATCCGGGCGTGGCCGGACCTGTACTAACCCGTAATTATTAGATTACAC